TATAAACTTCATGAAAAGCATGAAGTTTCGAAGTGCAGGGTGACTTCAATGACTTTCACATTGGAGTCACCCATGACAAATTTGTTGAATTCAAACATTCTACAAATTTGTCGTGGGTGACTTGGCGAAACGAGATGTCAGAAGAAGGGGAGCATAGGATCGAGAGTTTTGGACCAGGAGTCCGGTATGAGAATGGTAACCGTCTTATTGGGCTCTTACACGCCGTACGACAATGGCAACTCCATCTTCATAAAGAAACAACAAGGTGGACATGGGAGTCATCCAACGGTACGACTCATTTGAAGATCGATCACATTCTCACCAACCGAAGGTGGTGCTTACTGGAACTCTCATTGGTACCATCCTTCAACGATGCTTCAGATCACCACCTGCTCCGAGCAAAAGTGCAATTCAGCCGAAAGCTGGAGACAAAGATCTCACCGTGTTGGAGGAAGAGAAGTCGTCATATATGACGGCCCCTGACCACTTGCGACTGGCCCATTGGTGAGGACCCAACGAATGACTACGACCTGCTTCTCAGAGGACTGAGGGCCCGTGGTGAAAGCCTCGATGCCTCGAACAAGGAACTTGGAACGAATTCTGAAAGTCACCAAGAATCTGCTAGAGAGCAGGAGAGCACTGATGCTGGTTCCGACTGCATTACATCTAGAAGAGTGGTAGCGAGTACCAGTTGCTGAACAGCTTTGCAAGAAGATCTTCGAAAGTAGGCAATCGAAACCTTTGCAAGCAGCACAAGGAAGGAGAAGTCTAAAGGAGTACTGCAAGGACTTCTCGACTCCGTGTTCCACTGACAGCATTACTAAGCAAAGACGAGACTCGCAAATCTTCCAGACAGAAGATGGGATCGATCACGAAGCAAATCCACACCGATCTATTCTGTATCAACACTCGTGTCAACTTCGTTATCCCAACTGGAGAAATACCTATTGAAGTAGCGCTGCAATCCAGCTTATGAAGGCAGCCACGGTTCTGGGACTGGAACATGTTTCGGCCGATTTCTTACGAGCTGAAGGACATTACGAAATACTTGTGGCACACCTAACATCCTATCTTCAAAAGATAAGGATTCCCGACCAGTAGAGAACCTCGTAGACAATCCTTCTTCAGCAAGGCGATAAGGGAGGATCTTCGGAACTATCGTCCAAACTATGCCTGCTGAGCGTGCTTTACAAGCTTTTCACGAAGATTATTCTCACTCGCATATCAAGGACACTGAATAAAGCCCAATCTGCAGAACAATTTCTGCATTTCGTAAGGGAATCAGCTGCATGGATCACATCCAGTCGGTTTCGAGAATCATCGAGGTTTGCGATACCGCCTACCTCTCTTCATAACTTTCAACTACTATGAGAAAGCGTTTGACAGCGTTGAAACTGATGCCATACTATCAGCGCTCGTCGACCAAGAGGTGGACCCATCTTACGTGAGGACATTGGCCGACCTACAAGAACTGTTCTAAACGGCACAGCTTTTCCATCGCCCTTTAACATAATTTCGAAGAGAGTTCGACAATGCGACACCGT